AATATAATATTCAGATATTATTTAATACAATAAACTTCATGTTTATGATACTGAACTATTTTATAATTAAAACAAATTAATTGAATTATTGTATAATATAAATATTTATAATATTCATTATGATTGTTAATTCTATAGTGATATAAAGTTTGATAAAATACATACAGTAAGTGGAGAATTGCAAAATACCACACTCTTTCCCATAGTTTTGGATAGTTTTACTTTCAATTATGTAAATATTAAGTATTTAATTTTTGCGAAAATAAATAACTAGTGTAAAATTTAGTTTTTCATTGAATACAAACACTTATTATATAAATTAATAAATAAGATGATTATAAATAAATTTGAATCTTAAAAAAACTGTTCACAAAGTTTAAGGTTATATACCCTTTGGTTTGAATAAATAATTTGCAATTTATATCGATATTAATTATCATTACCTAAAACCTAACAATATATAAGACTAAAAGATTACTTAAAGTGATTAACATTTCGGTTAATATGAAACAAGAATGCTATTAATGATAATAAATCGATGTATTCAGTGTTAAAACGTTTTAACATATAAGCTAGGTCTACTAATGAGGAATAGCCTAAAACACTGGAATACAGTGAATGTTCCTAAAAATAATTGCTTCATATGAAGCAAGACATTATTTTTGAAACCGAAAGTTAAGTAACTATGAAATTGTGGTAAAACTGGTTTCAAGTATTGTAGTGATTCCCACACAACAGGTGTTTCCTATCATTCATTCATTCAAATGATAAAACTCTAAACGTTTGGCAAACGAATAGACAGTCAATAGTAGACTCAATACAATACATCATAACAACATGTATTGCATAACAGACTCGCGTGTAGTGTAAGGGTTGCACCACGAGTCAGTTTATTTGTAAGAACTTGTTACAGACTAATAAACATCATTTGAACAGTATGTCATATGGTCAGGGTCATATATGCAACATTCATAAGTGAGACACGAGTTTTCCATTCCAAATGGGAATATATATCCAATATATCCTTGGTTCTATTCATTTTGGGTATTTTTTTATTACACCGATATTTATGGCACAAATAGAATATTCTTATCATTACTCAACTGCACTGTACTGTACTGTACCATATCATTGATTACTGTACTCTTAGGTAGGTAGAGTTAAAAGTCAAAGTACTAGTAACATAACTAGTAACTAACTTTACTTAACTAGTACTAGTAATATTGTTTTCAAGCATTATCATATTAAAAACACATTTTATTTACTATAAATAAATTTAAATTAATATACTACTGTAATCTAAAATACCAGTAACTTATGATTGCACCAAAATTGTATCGCAATTAAAACGTTTATAAATACAATTTCTTATGATTACTGTTTACACCCGCAATCATTTTATTTAATATAAATATATTGATTTACAAAAATATTACAGTAAAAAATACTTTATTTTTTATACACAAATAAAATTATACGAAACAAATAGGAATAAAAATGTGTAAAACTATAAGTTATTAAATTAGAAAAATAGTTTACTTCTTATACTTCTTAAACAATTCGGAGATCTTTTTGGTCGAATCGGTGGCCAATCGGATGGGCTCTCGAGGGCTATTCAGACCTCGCAGTCGACTCGTATTCTTCTGACTAAATATATTTTCTAAACAACAAAATCATAATTAAAATTAATTATAATAAAAACTACAAAAGCAATTGAAAAACATTTTAAAGCAATTCATTACCAAAAACTGATGAGTTTGCTTGACATGTATGTGATGACTGAATGATAGCTGACTCTAAATATTGGTCATCAGTGGTGACCACTTGACTGTCACCCATCTGTCCATTGAGATCACTATCATTGAGATTGCAATTGACATCATTATTCACTTCCAAGAACTCATTCATATCAACACAATGGGTGTCGACATCCAATTCCTGCTTCACTTCCGTCCGGTGTATCCCGTCTTGAAATTCGGTAATTATTTTATCGATATTTTGTGCCAAATGTTTGCTCTTATGTTGATTAAAATCACGAC